AAAAAAAAAAAAAAAAGTTCTCATCCGTGAAATGAAGATAATAGTAATATCCAGCTTGGGGAGTTATTGGAAGGATTAAAAGGTAAAGTGCTTAGTATAATTTCCAGCACATAATAAGTTCCCAATAAATGGCAATTACTATTCACCGTATTGGAAGTGTTTCTCGCCCACCCGTCTGCTCTTCTGGAATGTACGATCCCAAGGAAAGAGACAGGGTTTGGTCCACTTTTGTATCTTGAACAAAGAATCTGGCTCATAGTAGGCACTCAATAAATGATCGTGGAATAAATTAAACAGATGGAAAAGGGAAGTACAAATGGAGAAACGAGGGAAATCATGGGGAATTTGGGTTTAGAGATACAGGATTCCATCCATCCACTCATGGATTTACTCCCTCAAGAAGCATTTCCCAAGGCTGCAAGTCAGGAAGAAAACCAGGTGCAGGACATGACAAGGCATCAGATCGGGGCCGGCTCTGGAGGCAGTTGCTATCTGGTGGGGAAGAGAAACATTTACAAAAATAATTAACAATCTAATAATCATATGATCTGAGTGCCATAGGGAGCACAAAAGTGAGAGGAAACAGTTCCTCCTGGGGAAATTCGGGCTGGCTTCCCGGAGGAAGGGACACTGGGTCTTGATACAGAGGATCGCGTAGGAGTTTGCTCGATGGTGAAGTTGAGCAAGGGCAGAGGAGTGGAGTGTAGCATGGGTGGAAAGCAGAGGCTGAGAAAGAGCGCAGTGTCCCAGCAGAGTGCCCCTCGGTAAGATCCCCCAACCTTTGGAGTCTTGACGTGACGAGGAAAGATTGGCAGGGCTGAATTTGGGGTATGTTGTTGAAAAGAAACGTGCTGGCAGGCTTTTGAAACCTCGGGTAATTTTTCTTACAACTTGGATGACTGAATGGATAGAGTTAGTGAGGTGAGCCCTGTACTTCCTTGACAGCGGCCGTCATCACTGTCATTTCTGCCTTTTTGTGTTCCTGTTGGTCATCAGAGCAGTCATTCACATTCTTATCACTTCCCGTGGTAAGAACTGCCCCCTTATGAAGTCAACAGTTGGAAGTGCTTTACGCACATTTCATTTAACCCCTGCCAAACGTGGTTCCCCCCCATTTCCAGGGGCAGACACAGGCTCAGAGAGGTTGAGCGGCATGTTCATGCCTCGGAGTTGCTCCAAGGCAAAGCTGATTAGAACCAAGAACTCTTGGACTCCAAAATTGGCCTCCCTAACTCTTAATCATTATTAAGGTCTTCGAGATAGACGAAAGCCCATTCATTTGTTCATTAAACATTTATTGCGTCCCGCTCTGAGCCAGGCTGAGGGCGCAACAATGAGGAAGACATGATCCTTCCTTGGGGGAGATCAGCGTGAGGCAGGGGAATACTTTCTCGTAAACAGCTACCCCCAGAGGTGACAATAGTGGTATGAATACAGTAGACGTCACCTTCCCAAGAGGATGGCCATCGTCGCTATAGCTCTAGGCATCAAAACAAAGATTCTTGAGTCACAAGCAACTGAGTGAGGTGGCAGGTTTACAATATAAGCTAGTCTGTTTGACTCTTAAGGTGTAAGGTGGAGCTCATGACCACCAGACCACAGAGCCTGGACAAGACATCCAGTCCCAGCCAGACCCTCCTAGCTCCCCGTCATCTGATCCTGGCTCACCACTTAATATATACCTCCCCCCACCCAACCCTTTTCTTTGCTCTAGATGGCCCTCTGGAAAAGTCCCTCACATTTCTTGTCCCCATGCACGTGCACCCTGAAATGCCTGTCCTTAGCCCCCATCCACTCTCGTCAGCCCAAATAACACCCTTCCTCCAAGATTGCTCTCAGGCCCTGTTCCTTCTAGAACCTTCTCTGATCCCCCAGGCAAAGAGGGCCTCCTTTTTCCTGACTGCTCCGTCACTCATTATCTCTGCAACACATTCTGATGCATAGTTATTTTTCAGCTTTGCTTTTTTGAACTGGGAGGCAATGTATCCTTCCTCTCTCCCACCTCCCATGCCCACCCCAACTTCTGGCTTTGGAGTCAGACAGACCTGGAGTCGAATCTCAGTTCTGGGGCTTGATGGCTATGAGCTTTTGGATGAATCTTGCACCTCTCTGAGCTTCACCTTCATCTGTAAAATAGGCACAATTTTATCTTTCATGCCCACCCAGGAGATTATTATGAGAATGGACATGAGGTCATGGATATAAAGTCACTCCTAGCTTGTGGTTGGCAGTCAATAAATTATAACAACCACCACAGTAATGCTAATAGATACTGGCTGTTTTGTTTTGTCTTTAACTGTATCAGTTGGGAAGACTTCTCTTCCCAACGGGTTTATTAACTTTGAAGGCACCAACCGCCCCTTAAACATACTTCGTATTTTTCATAGTAGCTGGTATAGCTCTAGGCGCATACAGGCTCGATAATTACCTGGTAGGTAGCACTGAGGTTCTGGGAACAAAGCGAAAGACCCTCAGATGGGCCCACCACAGTGACCCAGCTGAGGGAGGCTTGCGTATCTACAGCAAACAATACTGACGGACTTTTTCTTCCCCCCAAGGAGTGTCTGATCCCAGAGTGACACTGGACAAGAGAGAGGCAATAGAAGGCGGGGTCGTGATGGTCAATTGTTCCGTCCCAGAGGAAAAGCCCCCAATACATTTCACAATTGAAAAACTCAAGCTACATGCAAACGGTTTCAAGCAAAAAAGAGAAAAAAAAAAAAGTTCTTATAACCAGAATTTTGTGATGCTGGAATTCTCAGTGGAGGAACAAGACCATGTTATTTACTTCCAGTGCCAAGCCACCATCTTTTCTGAGAACCACATGGAATACTCGAGAGCCATCAAGAGTGAACTGGTCACCGTGACGGGTCAGAGTCCTAAACTCCTTTTTAAAAAAAATTACTCTTTCTGGTTTGCTGGTTGGGGAAGGGGAGAAAGAGCCCAGAATTCAGAAAGGGGGCTGGGGCCATCCGGCTGGACTGCTGCTCTCAAGACTGTTCTTAACCACTTAAAGGCTATGTTTATCGTTTAACGTGTGTGTGTGTGTGTGTGTGTGTGTGTGTGTGAAATTTCCCAAACAAAAGCTTCACAAATCATCTTAATATATGGGGCATTTGGGTATTTTCTATTCTATTCTACTTCAGTGTTTTTTTTTTTTTTT